CCCCCCGTAGCCGCGTCCCAGCTTCTCCCAGTTCTCAGTTGGGAAGTCCCCACCGTGTCAGCGTCTCAGCTCCGCCCCCTTCTTCATGGAGACGATGCTCCACCTCCTCCAGGTCCCGTCACCTCGGCCGGACCTTCTCTTGGTCCCACCACCCGTTGACACCCGGGGCAGAACCGGCCGAGTCCCACCACGTCCCAAACCTCCTGGAGCCCCCGTCTCCAGGTGGCCGAGGAGAAGCAGAAGATGAGAGGGTCCAGGCAGGCGCTGAAGGTGGTGAGGAGCACGGCGTAGGCTCTCCACGGGGGGTTCTCCTGCCGGAGGTACCCCACCACGTGGGACACGTTGAAAGGGGCGAAGCAGAGGACAAAAGCCACCGCCGTGGCCGAGGCCAAAGCCACCGCTCGCCGTCTCCTCCCCGGCGCCGCGGCTGGAAGGGCCACCACGATGCAGACCAGGCGGCCGTAGCAGAAGGCCGTGATGGCCAAGGGCAAGCAGAAGAGGACCAAGAAGATCTCCAAGCGAAGAGCCAAGAGGGTGGCCAGCTGAGGACCGGCGAAACGAGTGTAGCACGCCGTCCCGTTGGCCACCGCCCAAGCGGGTTGGGCCACGTAGACCACGCTGCAGTGGGCCAAAGCGGCCACCCAGAAGCCACCGGCGGCCACCGCGGCGGCGTGGGTGGCCCGGTGACACCGCCGGTAACGGACGGGGAAGGCCACGCGGAGGTAGCGGTCCACGCTGAGGGCGGTGAGGGAGAGGACGGTGAGGTAGACGCTGGTGAAGAAGAGGAAGACGAAGAGGGGGCAGAGGGAAGGTGGTAACTTCCAGGTGGCCTCCCAAACCGCCTCGGCCATGCGGACGGGCAAGGAGGCCACCAAGGCCAGGTCGCCCACCGTCAGGTTGAGGAGGAGGATGTCGGCGGGGAGGAGGCGCCGGCGTCGGGCCACCGTCCCCAAGGCCACCAAGGCGGCCACGTTGAGGGGCAAGCCCAAGGTGAAGACCACGGCGTAGACGGTCAAGCAGAGGCGGTGGTTGATGGCGAAGGGCGGGGCTGACATGGCGACCAGGGGTGGCCTGTGGTGGTCGAGATCTTCTAGGGTGGAGCTGTGGGTCAAGGGAGGTTGGGATCTACCGGGGTTCAATGGGGTGGGTGGTGGGGCCTTGGGTTGGGGTCTCAGGGGGGTTCCTGGGGCACCTGAGGTGGGTGGTGGATCCTGGGTCGGTATCTCTGGGGGGTTCCTGTGGGACCTGAGGTGGGTGGTGGGTCCCCAGGTGGGTGGTGGGGTCTTTGGGGGGTTCCTATGGGACCTGAGGTGGGTGGTGGGTCC